TAGGATAAAAAAAAAGAAAAGAATAAAATGAGAAAGAGAGAGAGAGAGAGAAAAAAAAAGGAGAAAGGAAGAAAAACTTACTCGTTGTGTATGCGAAATGATCACACTAGTAAAGATAACATGAACGCCTCCGAACGATAAAGTTTAACCGTGATATTAAATCCGCATATCGTACCGAAACATTATTCGATCCGAAGTACGTGGCTTTTATATAACGATAATATTAGCTCACAAAGGAAGGTAGTCCGTTGGAGTAAATGGCACGCTTTCTTGCACGTGTTTGCTTTTGTATTGGTAATCATGGTATATCAACGGGAAGAAGAGATAGGCAAAGAATGTTTATTGGAGTTAAAACAGTGTTCTGATAAAAACTCATATTAAACATGCATGAAAGTTTATAAAAACATTTCAATAACGAAATAAAGTCATAGGAAGTTGCAAAACATCCATTATATATACATATATATATATATTTTTTATTAATAATAATCACGATTGGTATTATGTTAAAAATATCTCAAATTATATTAAATATTGAGTTTCTTTAAAAAAAAAAATATATATATATATATAATATATAACATAAAAATAAGAGATTATGAAAAGCTCAACAAAAAGGAAAAAAGAGAAAAAAAAAGAGAGAGAAAGAGAGAGAGAAAGAGAGAGCGAAGAGACAAAATCAGATAAGAAAACGATTTTATTGAAAATATTTTAATAATTAAACGAAATAATACGATAAAATACAAAATAATTGTCGCATAAATAACAATTTTAATATAATATTAAATATGAAATTATTTTTTGATCGTTCGAAAAAGTCATAGGATTTTTAAAGAATAAAAGACAAAAAAGAAAAAAAAAAGAGAGAGAAAAAAAACTATTCGAGAATATATTTGAGAGTACCAAATATACCAAAAAACAGAGGAAGAAGGAGAGAAAGAGAGAGAAATGGAGAAAAAGAGATAGAGAGAAAAAGAGAGAGAGAGAGAGAGAAAGAGAGAGAGAGAGAGAGAGAGAGAGAGAGAGAGAGAGAAAGATAGCAAAGGTAGTAAAGTTGAAAGATCGCACGAATGAGGATGATTCTCGTTCGTAATATACGACGCGTGTTGAAGGACGTAAACGCGAGATCGTATGATTGTCGCGTGGCAAAGCTGAAAGCATGAAAATCGTTGAAAAAAAAAAAAGAAAAAGAAAAAAGCTCTCATTTCTCCCCCTCCTCTCTCTCTCTCTCTCTCTCTCTCTCTCTTTCTCTAAACCAAGAGAAACGCAACGATGATGTCCTTCGAACACATTCACATAAATATACACATATACATCCAACATACATGCATACATACATACATACATACATACATACATACATGGATGCATGCATACACATAGGTACATACATATACAAACACATGTATGCAATTTGTCCTCAAAAATGGTGCACTCGACTAGCATAGCAGCACTCGCTGACGAACGAGTTAGCGAATGAGCTTCAGGTTGGTGCCAGCATCCAAGTGCACTCCGCGAATAATCGCGCCGTAAAACGTGACCCGAAACGCGTGAACCCTCTCCTCTCCTCTCCACTTTCCCCTCTCTCATTCCCCTTTCTCCTTTCCTTCTCTTTTCTTTTTCGAAGAGAAGCACACCGAAGATATATCATATCTACAAGTTTTATCTTCAACAAGGTGGAAAAATGTTTTTACGCTTGAGAATCCTTCAAAGCGCATCGTGAGTGCTGATCGAAGCAAGAGAGAAAGAAAGAAAGAGAGAGAGAGAGAGAGAGAGAGAGAGAGAGAGAGAGAGAGATAGAAAACATCTCTCGATCTCAGAGTTTTTCTATGACTTTTGCAACATGGGTCTTCACAAATTTCTCTTCTTTATTACTTTTCTGTCCGTTTTTTTTTCTTTTCTTTTTTTTCGTAGCCTTCTCTCTGTCTCTCTGTCTCTCTGTCTCTCTCTCTCTCTCTCTCTCTCTCTCTCTCTCTCTCTCTGTTTCTCTCTCTTTTTCTCTATTACTACTTTAATTTTACGAAAGAGAAATTAGGTAGATTCATTACCAAGAATATGACTTACATACATACTTACTTAGTTACTTTGAATATTTAGGAAAATTCAAAGTATCATATAAAGATTAAAGTAAAGTAGTTAAAAAAAGTAATTATGTATATGTATAACTAATATATAAATAAATATACGTATATTTATCAATGAAAAATTTTCAAATATAAAAAAATTGATTCCCTTTAAAATGATTCATTTGATATAAAAACACTTATTGGCGTATCATCATATTTCTCTTCAATAAGTTACACTTATATTTTATAATAATATTCGTTCTGTTTTTCACTCGGTATACCATGTATATGACCCCTGAATGTAAAGGGTCAGAAATTTCTAAGTAGGTGATGTGTCCTTCGTGTTTTCTTCTCACGATTTCCCAAAAGGCGTGAATGGTCTCTGTTTTCTCTCCCTCTCTCTCTCTCTCTCTCTCTCTCTCTCTCTCTCTCTCTCTCTCTCTCTCTCCTTTATCACGTACGTATAAAGATATATATATATATATATATATATATATATATATATATATATATATTATACGTACGGTCTAAAGCAGACCGGATACAAATACCGTCTTTAGCCTCTGACATATGTACTTACGTGCGTACATATAAAATGTAGGAGAGAGAAAGAGAGAGAGAGAGAGAGAGAGAGAGATGGAAAAAAAAAGAAAGAGAAGTTGATAAATGAATGCGTGGTTAAAGTACGTGAGAAGGGAGGCGAGAAAAGCACATCCTCGTGCTTCGTGTTACTCGAAGGAAGTAAAAAAAAAAAAGAAGGAAGGGCTAAAGACACCTTTGGGGATGCCAAAAGGGAATAGATGTCAAGAAGAAAAGAAGATCGTCGAAATACATCTTGATCCTGTGATCTCGATCCTCTTGCTTTTCACTTGGTGAAAATCGTTCGGTTATATAGAAATCTTCCCGATGTATCTCTCTCTCTATTTCTCTCTCTCTCTCTCTCTCTCTCTCTCTCTCTCTCTCTGTCTCTCTCTCTCTCTCTTTCTCTTAACCTGGAAAATTAATTATTATTATCGGATAACTTAACGCTTTACTGTTACTGAATTGTAAAGCGTATAATACTGTAACGTTGAGCGATTATAAAATGTTTCGGTGAAACGATAAACCGTATTAGGTTACCCGCGAGTTCATCGAATGAAATTTAATCTCAGATTATATTATCAACCTGTTCGTATACCGCTTTGTTCAGTTTCACGTGTATTACAAAACCTGTGCAGTAACGTCGAAAATATTTTCTACATTTAATACGTTGAAAATTGTTCGAGAACTTTTTTTTATTTTTTTCTTTTTTTTTTTTTTTTTTTTTTTTTCTTCTTTCTCCCTTTTTTTCTCCTTTTTATTCAACAATGAACCAAAATTTGACGCTAATTCTACGACGTTACAAGTAAATATCAATATCGGCAAATCATAAATATATAATCGTTTTGCAACAATCTCTCGTCAAATTTTATGACAGATTAAATAAATTTTTTGTAATATTATCGGAGATATGTATAGTTACTGCATAAGTAAGTATTATGTAGAAGACAATGTAATAAAGAAAAAAAAAAAAAAAAGAAAAAGAAAAAAAGAAAAAGAAAGCAATAATATTTCTTTGTAAATAGAAAGAAGAAAAAAATAAATAAATAAATAAATAAAAAACACCGAACGATAAGGAACACGTTATCATTGAAAATTAATGACAAAGACAATTAAAGAAGAGAGTATATATATATATATATATATATATATAATGATACATCGATTTCGAGACATCCGAAAGGAAATACTGGACTGAAAAATCAACCATCGGACAGTAAAATAGATGTGAGGTGGGATGGATTGCAGGCATGGTGAGAAGAAGGTGAAGGAGGGTGTGAGGTGAGACTGGTGAACGCTATTGTCTCGTCTTTTTTTGCATTAAAATTCAGACCCTTTGGAACACGTTCGAATCTGGGTGACGTTTCTCTTTCTCACCCTCTCAATACAACCAGCCGAATACTTCGAAAGGATTTTTGCTGCTCGTACGAGTCAAGTTAAGCTCGCTTTTGCATTCAGTGACATCGTACTCGTCGTCGGAACATCCGAGCTCGTTGGATACGTGCGATATGAAAAATACATAATTCTTGGAGGAAAGTGCGAATAATAGCTGTATCACGTCCCAGCTGCTCGTACCGAAGTATCGTCGTCGATATTTTAAAAGCGAACGAGAGATAGAGAGAGATAGATAGAGAGAGAGAGGACACAGAGCCCCTATTTTATTTTGCGATATAATACTCGACTCCGTGTCGTCCACGTCGCTTGACATATTGGACGTGATAGGGTGTAATCCGTTATGCCAGGCTTCGAGCTTGCGAACGGAAATCTAGAGCCTCGATCACCTTCCTCCTTTTATTTCTCTCTCTTTCTTTCTCTCTCTCTCTCTCTCTCTCTCTCTCTCTCTCTCTCTCTCTCTGTCTTTATCTCTGTTACACAACATAAAGAAAAAAAAAAAGAAAGGATAGCGCATATTTATAGTTTCAAATCAGTAGATATCAAAATATCCTAAACACAATGAATGTTCGAAGATAGGAAAAAAAGGGAACAAAAAGAAAGAAAGAAAGAGAAAGAAAGAAAGAAAAGTTTGACTCTAATTTATATTCACAAAAGTTAAGATCATAAATAAATTCATATCTCAATATAATTTTTTCATTTGTTTTCGTTTTCTTTTTTTTCTTTTTTTTCTTCTTCCTGTTATTTTTTTGTCGTTTTCTAAAAATTACAGTCAGTTTGATTGAAACTAAAGTAATATTATCGTTTGCGTCTCACGACAATTCACAACAAGAACTTAACGAATTGATATATCTATCTTATATCATATTATATCATATATATTGTGTGTGTGTGTTCATGTATGTTCGAGAATTCGTGAATGATGAGAGATAATAACACGAGAATATACTGTTCTTGTTTCAGGAAGTGCATACATCATCAGATGGAGTGCACCGCAGTTGATGATCGTTGCGGTACAATACATACTCACTGGACCATACATGCCACCGTACGTACCGCAAACGGCGAATTAAGAACTAATAATACATCTTCGATCGGGAGAAGAGAAACGTAGAGAGGGAATGAAAATGAAGAGGAGAAGTAAAAGGAGGAGAAGGAGATGGAGGAGATGGAGGATGAAAAGGGAGGATTGGAGGAAGGAAGGAAGGAAGGGACCGATTTCCGTAGCCGAATTAGTTCGTTACCCAAACGCAATTCGGCAATGCTCAAATCGATCGGCAATTCAATTTCGAATCGGTGAACTTTAAACATTAAGTCGATTAAACATCGAATTACCTGTAATTCGCGAATTGACCCACGAGTTTGATTACAACCATCCAGGAACAGTGGTGGCCGAATTACCACAAAACGATAATTATGTATGAAAGCGCGTCCGTACTTCCTGATTACATTGGCTTGTTATACCTACACCGAGGCTATAGTATAGCATACTACGCATTCGTATAAATTGCAAGGTAAATTAGAACGAAATTAGTAGCTCGCGTTCCTCGCTATCACACAGATGCTAGATTATGAAACGAACCGATATCGAAATGATATCGAAAAATTTTTCCAATCTAAATCTATATATATATCACTGCCATGGGTATTATTGCCATAGGCATCCACTGCCATGGGCATCACTGCCAATCAACATTCCCTCTTTTTTTCTTTTTCCTTTTTTTTTTTCTTTTTTTTTTTTTCATTCATCAATTTCATTGATAACACGAATAATATTAATTCTTGTTGAGATTAATTGTTCGTCCTTTTACGTCGTCCATACGAGAAATAATTTGATTCGATAAGAGATGTTTGCAAAAAAAAGAATTGAAAATAAACAAAAACAGAATAGAGGAAAGAATAGATAGGAGAAAGAAATGAAAAAGAAAAAGAATAAAAAAAGAAAAAAAAAAAAAGGAAAAAAAAAAAAAGAAAAAAAAAGAAAATTCATTCTTTTAGGAAGTACGCATCGAAATCTAATTGCGTTAGGAATGGATCAATACGGGACGATGAATCCAAAAGGTTAATTTGAAATTTCCCTTGTTATATCTACATATAATGTCGCCCCGGAGATATATTAGTGGAATATTAATCGGCATCATTAGTTGCACGACAAATTGCTCTATCGTCGGACCAACGAAATGGGACAAGAACGCAACGAATGGATTTACGGTGAAGCTCTATCCCGTCGAAATATATATATACTTACCTATATATATATACATATATATATATACACACCTATATGTATATGTATATATATATATATATATATATATATATATATAACTTCAAATAAACTCGGCGATGTCGAAAAGCGTGTCATCGATCGATTCGAAGCGATTTTGCAATGGTTTAATGGGACGCTCGTGCTCACGTGACATTTATTAAACCACATTTTGGGATTGCAGACGTCCATCGAACGTAAGCATAACCGAGAGTCGTGGAACGTCGTAGAACTAGCTTTGATGTGGGAACAGTGTGATGTACAAAGCTCGATTAATTTTACCAATTTAATTGAAATTCGAACGTTAGATCTTCCATTAATAGATCCGGTCAAGATGGCGTTTTACGTCTTTATCGTTCGATTAAATGAAAGAACAATGTTGCGTTTATATTTATTATAATTTTTATTATATATTTATGAGATTCCTTTCTTTTGTTGTTATTGTTGTTGTATTTCTTTTTTTTTTCCTAGACTTTTTTTTCTTCGTATGCCTCATTCCGCGATACCAATACAGTCATATTGGATTTACGATCAAACAACAAATGACGTGCGAAATCGTGTTAGAGTTGTACAACGTTATGTCGAAAAGGACAATTTTGTTAACAACAAAAACAAAGGAGACAATGGGAACAAAACTTTCTCTTTTCCTTTTTTATATTTTCTTGTTTGTCTGTTTACTTCGTTCTCTTTTCTTCTTTTTTCTTTCACGAAGCAGCGTAATCTATTTCGATCTAACACGCGGGGATTCTGGGGATTAAAGATCCAACATGGCGGTGCTAACTATCACATATTCTAAAACTGCACGGAAATGAATCGGAAAATAGCGCGTTTATTTTTCTGTTCTTTTTCTTTTTTTTTTTTTTATTATTATTATTATCTTGACATAGATACTACGCGAAATTTGTATGCAAGCTTTCGCAATAATATTCAATGGCGCGCGCATGAAATATATACGGACACACACACACACACACACACAAACACAAATATATATATTCGAAAAATATGTTCAGTTGGATGAAAAACTTTTTATATATGCCGATTTTCATTGTACATCGAGAAGCGATAACGTATCATGGCGGCAATCAATGTGAAAAAATTTTCCAAGTTCAAAAGTACGCGTATTCTTGATACTTTTTTTTCTGTTTCCTTGTTCTTTTTTCTTTCTTTCTTTCTTTCTCTCCCTCTCTCTCTCTCTCTCTCTCTCTTTCTCTCTCTCTCTTTTTCTCTCAGAATCATTCGATGCAAATTTAAACGAGAGACGACAGAAAACGAGATCTTCGGGAATAAAAGTATTGAAAAGTATCGTAGAAAAATCGTTGAAAATCGTTCCTAATTTTCGAACGATCTATCGAATGACTAAGAGTTTCTGTAAAGCAGCTTTCCTCAATTGCAATTTTTGCTTCGCACGAAAACGTACTTGGATATTATCGGCTAAGCCTAGCTTAACTCAAGCAATTTCATTTTATCCGCAGTACAATATTAACAATAGCAATAGCAACAGTAATAGAAGTAGCAGCAATAGGAGCAGCAACAGGATCAATCATTTCTAAATCTTAGATCGTTAAAATCTGTACGTATCATTGAACGGTATTAAATAAATACGATGTTAATAGATAAACGATGAAGATAAATTAAAATTAAGTGAAAACTGATAAAGAGATAGATAAATACGATAACGAATGATTATAAATATTATAACTAAATATTAGTCGGTAATTAATAAAAAAAAAAAAAAAATTAAAAAAAATTTAAAAAATAATAAATAATCGGAAGGAAAAAAGGAAAAAGAAAAGAAAAAGAAAGAGAGAAGAGAAGAAAAGCAAAACGTTAAAATATAATTTGACCGTCGTCCAAAAAAAGTGAAACGTAGCATAGATTTATAATTTACATGAATTGACCTCGATGTTGGATCTTAAAATTGCGATGGAACATCCAAGAGGGTTGTGTCTTCGACGTAAAAGAAGAGAGAGAGAGAGAAAGAAAGAGAGAGAGAGAAAGAGAGAGAGAGATAAAGAGACAGAGAGACAGAGAGAGAAAGAGAGAGAGAGATAAAGAGACAGAGAGACAGAGAGAGAAAGAGAGAGAGAAAGGGGAAATGTGATTAATGCTATGTCACGCACGAACCTTCTCCGTAGTCGCGTATAATATTCCGTGCTTGAACGATATCGCCTGGCCGGCACGTTCGCGATAAAACGAAAGCGAATATTTATTTCTACGAATTCAATTATTTCCCTATAGAGCAAGTATAGCTATCTGAATGTGTTTTGTATATGTGTATACATACGTACATATATATATACATACTATATATATGCAAGAGAGAAAAAGAGAGAGAGAGAGAGAAAGAGAAAGAGAAAAAGAGAGAGAGAGAGAGAGAGAGAGAGAGAGAGAGAGATAAACGGAGTTAAATCGACCATCCCAGCTTTCCGGTTCGGTCCAGCCAACTGAGAGTTTATTCTCGCACGGGCCACTTCGTCGTTTTCCATTCGTGAATCGATAAAAAAGGGTGGAGAGTACATAGTTATCTGTGTGTTTCGTTAAATTTAAAACCACCATACTATTTCTTTTCTTCTTCTCTTTCTTTCTAACATAACTAGCTATAGTACCACTCTCTCTCTTTCTCTTTCTCTCTCTCTTTCTCTCTCTCTTACTCTCTCTCTCTTTCTCTCTCTCTCTTTCTCTCTAAATATATATATATATATATATATATATATATATATATATATATATACATATAAATATATATACATATATATGTCATATCATAAGAACTTTCCGCAAACGAATTCCGCAAGAAATTTTTATCCTCCCCCTCTCCCCCGTCCCCCAGTTTGAGAAAAGCCACCTCTCTTTTAATCCACCTTAGGCGAACGTTGAACACAACTTGAAATTCTTCGTAGGAGTTTTTCTATTTTTCTTTTTTTTTTTCTTTCTTTTTTTTCTTTTCTTTTTTTTTCTCTTTTTTTTTTCCATGAATCCACCTAACCCAACCGCCGTCTTAAAAAAAAAAAAAAAGGAAAAAGAAAAAGAGAGAAAAAAAAAAGGAAGCATTCGGAGTTTCGGGTTTTCTTCTGCTTCGGCTGGTCATGCAACGTTCTTAAGGATAAAAAGAAAGAGAAGGAAACTGGTATGAAAAGTTTCGATCGCACAAAGAGGGCTTCGATAAAGTATCATTCGGCCGGAAAGTCTCCGGCAGAAAGTTACCAATCTATGGGAGAGATTGAAAAGTTCCCTTTTATGTCGCCCGTCGAAATACGAAACTTTCTGTAACACGTACAATGTATATATATATATATATATATATATATATATATGTATACATGTATACATGTATGTATGTATATATATGTACACAACAGAGAAACACAGACACGTAAAGAACTACACGGAAACAATGAAAGAATCGCAAAGTTTACGAATAATGGGGGGAAAAATGAAAAATCGGTCGATTTTTTTTTTTGCATCGACATTTTACATTTTTTCGTGTATTTGTTTTTTTTTTTTTTTTTTTTTGTTTTTTATCCCTCCTACCCTATCCCTCCCAAGTAATTATCCATTTTAGAGATTTTATTGAAAAAGAAAGAAAAAAAAGAGAAGAGGGAAGGAAAAGAAAGAAACCCTTTTTATCCAATACTACTTTTAAAACTGTTCGTATTAATGTTCTCGATAAATAAAACATTAGATACGATAGATT